AAAAAAAAAAAGACATCTTATTTCTTTTATCTTTTATTTTCACATGTGAGGAAAAAAAATATATAGAGATTCACACGTCTTAGTAAATTATAATTAATGACTTCTAGCCATTTTTTGATTGCTGACAACTTAAGTGCCACTCTAGATTTGTAAAATTTTATTGTATAAGAAAATATTGCGTGTGCATCATACTTCTTTGTATTATAACCATCCAAGAATTTAATCTTGTTAATTACAAAGAGCTTCAAGAAAGAGATGACATAAAATATGGCCTCCTAAAGAATTGAAAATCAAAAAATTAATAAGCAAATCCTTTACCAACTACAACTATGATTCAGCACCAGATAATACCTCATACTCTTTCTACAAATGGTATATAATACAAGCGCAGGTACATTTCATCCGCGCAATATCGTGAATCGTAATAAGATAAACATGGAGAAAATGGATGATGTTAATTTTATTTTATTTTTATTTAAATATGTTAATTTTTTTAATTTTTAAATAAATATATTAATTTTTAATTTTTTCTATTTAAAAATATCAATTTTTAACTATTTCTACTTAAAGATTAATTAGATGATAATGTTAACAAAATAAATAAATTTTTTAATTAAAATGTTAAAAGTTGACATTCTTAAATAGAAAAAAATTAAAAGTTATTATCCTTAAATAAAAAAATTAAAAATTAATACTTTTATTTAAAAACTAATAAAATTAACATTTTAAAATTAAAAAAATACAAAATTCACTTCCTTGTTTGTACCATTTCTCGATAAACATGTGAATAAAGAAGTGTATACTAGGCTGTAACACAAGCGCCACCTAAAATTGCGAAGGAGACTTAACTTGCTACGACTCTTTTAATGTTGGTAGTGGAAACCATAATAATATATTTATAATATTATATAAGATTGTATTTTTATAAAGAAATAGTATTTATTTCCCTTATTTGTCTTATTTCTTAAAAATTAAGAGAAAAATAATTTTAAAATTATATTATTTTAATAAAATTTTATTTAAAAATATTAAAATATATTATTTTTAAAATGAAATAGTATTTATTTACCTTATTTGTCTTATTTCTTAAAAATTAAGAGAAAAATAATTTTAAAATTATATCATTTTAATAAATTCTTAGTTAAAAATACTAAAATATGTTATTTTTAAAATCTAAATTAGAATGTTTTTGTATTTTCTTATAATATTTTATTGAAACTATATAATTTTAAAGTAAATTCTTCTTAAATTTTAAATGGTAAAACATATAAATATTA